GGGGATAGGTGGGAGGAAGAACAGGTTAGGGAGGCGGGGACAAGCTGGGCTGGTTTTGGGATGTGGTGGGGGGAGGGGAGATTTTGAAGCTTCTCCCACTTATCCCCTCCTCCCACCTCAAGCCGCACCCCCATCTCCTACCTACTAACCTCAACCCGCCCCCTTGACCTGTCCGTCCTCCCTGGACTGACCTATCCCCTCCCGAACTCCCCACCTACACTCACCTTTACTGGCTCCATCCCCGCCTCTTCGACCTGTCTGTTTCCTCTCCACCTATCTTCTCCCCTATCCATCTTCTAACCGCCTCCCCCTCTCTCCCTATTTATTTCAGAACCCCCTTCCCCTTCCCCATTTCTGATGAAGGGTCCAGGCCCGAAACAACAGCCTTTTTGCTCCTATGATGGTGCTTGGCCTGCTGTGTTCATCCAACTCTGCACCTTGTTGTCATAGGACCTCAATACCTATCTGCGTGTTAGCTTGCTCCCTTCCTTTGACAGAATAATCTACATTCATTTGTATGATATTCTTTATCCTGGCACTAGGGAGGCAACACACCATGAAGGACTCATAGTGATTGTGATCCCAGCTGTTGGTAACACTGGACAAGTCAGATTCCAGAGTGAGAGCTGGCTGGATGGACCATATGTTTATTTTTGCTGTCTGTTTACCATGGTGGTCAGTCACTGAACATATTCAAAGGCTGCCAATGCAATTACAACAGAACATCAAAGTTTATTACACACAAAGGGAAAAAAAATCCGTCACCATATTACACTATACAAGAACTATTTAAAATGAACTTATTACAAATCTTGGAAATAAAGATTCAACCCTCTCATTCTCAACAACAACGTTATGGGCATTCAAACCTCAGTGAAGTGTCATCCCATCTTCACTTTAAAGTTCCTCTTAAGGGACCTGCCTGGTCTCACTCTGTCTTCACGCTTGGTGCTGCCATCCTGTGCTTTTTTATCCTTCCACTGATCTCACTGTCTGCTGCTACTGTCTCTCTTTGACCTCACATCGGTCTCTTTGTGCACTCACTCTGTTGCTGCTATCTCTGTTGTCTTCCTATTGTTTTTGTTGTGCTCTTGCTAATATGGTAGTTTAAGGTTCTCAGACTTGTGTTGCCTTGGAGATTTGAATGTTTTTCTTAATGTTTTGACATTTCAAATTGAGGAGGTATAATTTCATCCTTATTAACTGATGTTTATAAAGTATTCAGTGTGTTAAATTTTTGCTTTCAGCTTGATTATTCGAGGTGATGTGGATGAACATGCTGTGCTGTGTAGTGAAGATAAAACGTATGATCTGAAGGTTGCTGATACGTCAAACATGTTGCTCATCATACCTGACCTCAAAACCCCTGATCAACTTGGATCTGAGTCAAGCGCAGACAGTTTGATACACTGTCAGGTGAAGTATTTATGTTTACAAGGACTTCTTTAAGGGATAATTATCTTTCTGCACATATTTATTGAGATACAGATGGTTTAAAAATAAAATCTCCAAATAGGAGTACTGCTGGGGAATAGTAGGGGAGGCGATGGCATAGTGGTATTATCGCTGGACTGTTAATCCAGAGACCCAGATGATGTTCTGGGGACCCAGGTTCGAATACCGCCACAGCAGATGGTGGAATTTGTATTCAATAAATGTCTGGAATTAACAATCTAATGGTGACCATGAATCCATTGTCAATTGTCAGGAAAAACCCATCTGGTTCACTAATGTCCTTTAGGAAAGGAAACTGCCATTCTGACCTACATGTGACTCCAGACCCACAGCAATGTGGTTGACTCTTAACTGCCCTCTGGGCAATTAGGGATGGGCAATAAATGCTGCCTAGCTAGCGACACCCTCATCCCATGAATGAATAAAAAAATGGCATGGCCATCATTTATCGTCCTAGTTGTCATGGGAAGGTGGTGGGCTGACTTTTTGAACTTGTTTAAGTAATTTGCTGCAATTGAATGGCTTGCTGGACCTTTCAGAGCACAGATAAGAACAAAGTACCTTAGTATGGGACTGGAATCATATATGAGCCAAGCTGGTTTAAGATGGATGGATCCTCTTTCCTTTGATTAGTGTGAATTAGTGTGCCAATGGCACTTAATGATGATCTGCCATGTTGCCTCCTTCCCTTGGCTAAGTGGGTAATTGCATTATAAAGTAACATAAGTTAATTCCCTGATCTATGCTGAGATAGCAGCAGGAGCACCTTCACATAGGGAATTTCAGGATTGTGACCCAACAACAATCCATCTTTAAGATTCTTCTTAAAATCTGCCTGCTTAAGCAAATTCTTAATCAGTATTTTAATATCTACTTCCTCGGCTCTGTCAGTCTTTGATTGCATTTGTGTAAAAAGCAACTTTGACCACTTTTCCACATTAAGGGGACATATAAATAGAAGTTTTGTGTTATGGTGTTCCCTGATATTGTTACTGATCCTCAGTGGTAAGAGTTGAAAGGCTTTGAGGTTGTGTTCTCATAAACCTTAAGAGTTGCTGCAACTGGATCCCGTGGGTAACACATTTATACTCACTGTGATAACAATGTGCCAAAGTTGCAGGAGTCTACCTGGAATTTGGTGGCAGGGACAGCAATCTAGTGGATTGGTTATGTCTTGGATGGTTTTCTAAGTGGTACAATAGCATCCTTGTTCACAGTGAAAACTTGAGCATTGACTGAGAGGTATTTTGGTATTTACAAGTCGTTGAAAGCAGCAGTTCAAATGGGCAACCGCTAAAGAAAATAAATAGGATGTAGGACAAGTGGTATAGAATATTTAAGCTAAGATATATTGTAAATCTATAAAACCTTACTGAGCTCATGTTTGGAGTATTATTTGCATTTCTGGGCTGTGCACTATAGGACGGATGTAGGAGAGGACAAGAAAGTATAGTATAAATTCACTAGATTATTGCTTGAAATGTAGGGTTATTTTCTTGGAACAGGGAAAATTATAGGGTGGTTTAATGGTGATTTCAAATTGCGAAGGGACAGAACAGGTTAAGTTTAAAAACAATACTGATTTGTGGATGCTGGAAATCTGAAATAAAAGAACATTGAAACAGTCAATGAGTGAGGTAGTATCTATGAAGGGGAAAAGAGATTTAACATTTAGGCTGCTGACCTTTCATCAGAACTGGAAACTGTTAGACACGAACAGGTTTGAAGCAGGAAAAGGGACAGGAAAAAAAACCAAGGCAGAAATTTGTGATTGGATTGAGGGCAGGGCTGGCTGGCAAACAGTGATAGCAGTGTACGATTTAAAGGAGAGAGGCATGGAAACAAAAGATCGGTTCAGACTAAGTGTAAGTGGTTGAGCAGAATAGTTGGGGGGAAAAGAAGCACAGAAATTTGACGGAGAATAAAGTTCATGGGGCTCAGGAATAAGGCTGTGGAATCATTTTTGAGTAAGTAAAAGTTTAACGTGCAGGTTATGTACAAAGGATAAGATAATTATTTGGAACTGAATGACAAGTATCAGCGGATTCCTTGTTATCAATGTGAATATAAGTTGCAGAAATAATACAAATCGTCCTCAAATCGAACTGAGATTGCGTATCTTCATAATTCACCTTTTAGAACAGTTATTTAGATTTCCAATAATCTTGTAGTGTTGGTTTTAATTCAAAAATGCTTTGATTTGTACAGATTTATGGTTTTGCTAAAAGCTACTGGGAATTGAAAAGAACTCGACCCAAATTGAAGAAGTTGAAGAAACTTCTAATGGAAAACCAATACGAGGGGCCTTCTAGTGAGAAAGAAAGAAATTCAACTTATTCAACGGTATCGTTGGTGTATATTTATCCTTTCAGACTATTATATCCAAAGTATAGAACAATGCGTCCCAAACCTTGCCCCGCAGAGACCCCATTTTGAGCTCTGAAAATTACCTTGACACATCCGTGAGAAAAATCAGTGTTGGGATGGTGAGCTGTGGGTGCCAGTGGCATGGTGTTTATCCTTCAGGAATTTTTAACAACCTACTTTTCCACTGCCCCTTTCGGTGCAGGACCCCAGTTTGAAAGATCAGTTGATAAGGTCACGCCCAACATTTTTGGAAAAAGCACCTTACGGCAGTGAAATCTCAGTCGGAGCTCCATGGCACCCAATGCTGACCCGTACCGCCCACTGGGTTATGATCCACAGGTTGGGAAGTCCTGAGGTAAAATTTGTTTTAACTTTGAACTAGAACTTATTGCTGATTTTATGAATTCCTCAAACTAGTGATGCTGAGGATGATTGTAACAGCCATCAGCCTGTCTAGCTTGAAATCAGTTTTCTCAGCACAAACCATTGAATTAAATCTGAAATTGTTCCGGTCTTATGGTCAAATTTGCGAAACTACGAAGAGTAACTTTTGGCTCAGCTGGTAGTATTCCTGTCCTCAAGTCTGAATGCTATGTGTTTAAGCACACTCTAGAGACTTGAGCACAAGAATTTAGGCTGACACTACTTTGTAATACTGAAGGAACGTTGTACTGCCTGAGGTTCTGTCTTCTATGTTAGATATTTACATACAGCAATTGCTTTCTGAGGTGGATGGGTGGATATAAATGATCCCGTGACTTTATTTCAAGGAAATTCAGAGTAATTTTCCCAGGTATCTGGGCCAGTAGTTATCCCTTGATCAATGTAATTAACACACAATAACTAGCCATCATCATATCACTGTTTGTGATTTCCTGCTCAAGTTGATTACAAGTTTACTATATAGCAACAGTGACCACACATCAAAAGCACTGAATTGGCAATGTTTTGAGACATCATGAGAGGCATTATGCAAATGCAGTACATTTTTCTTTCTGTCTTGTGTGCCAAGCTGCATAATTTGAAGAATAATTGGAAATTGGGAAAGAGTATCTGCAATGCAGAAAATAATAATTACGTTTCCAGATTTACAATAAAGTTCATATGATCTTATGAGGGAGCATTTTATTGAAGATGTCAATCTTCATTCCAAACCCCTCATTCTTCAGGAAGTTCACCTGGGACCAACACCACAGTTGACTTGCTGGGTGGGCAGGTAATTAGCTGTCAGGATTTATACTGGAATTTTAGGTGACAACTGAGTGGAGCGTGAAAGCCAACAATAAGATGATTCTTTCTTTGATTGTTAAGCTACACACAGTGTCAGTTCACAGCTCCATTCCAACCCCTGAGATTATTAACCCTGCAACTTGCCACCTCGTGAAGCATCATGATTCCAACATGCCTTTCCTTCCATCTGTTGCTTTGCCAAAATTTAGTAAATTTAATTTCTGATATGTTTGTCTTTTGACTGATATTGCTGTTGCATTGCAGTATACAAAGGAAGATTTAATGGAAAGGATTCAAGCCAGTGAACAGGAAATAATGCAGCAGTTACAGCAGATACATGCATGCAGGATTGAAGGTAAATTGTAAGAGTAATGTATAACTCATGTTGTTGAATTTCCACAGCAAATTCTCTTAATCATTTGATGTCACTTTGCTGTAGAATAACAAAAACAGCGTAGATGCCATTTATGCTGTTTTTCTGTATTTACACAACCTTCTATTGAGATTATTATGGATGAGTAGAAGAAACATCTGCAGAAATTCAATCTTGGTGCTTCAGTTCAGCAGATGAGATGACATATCCTTCGCTAGACTAGTAGGTTAACACAGAATATTACTAAGATATAAATAGCAGAAGGTTCCTGGTTCCCACGGCCAACAATTGTTCATTTCAGTCCAAGTGACATGAAGCAGCAGCTGATTGGGCTAATCACAGTAAAGACTGTGGAACTGGACAACATCCAAGCTGTAAGATCTTGTAGCAAGAGCAGCACCAATGGATCCTTTGATAATTGCATTCCATCTTACAACACTGAGCCATCTAAATTGTAAAGGTCCCAGATACAAGCCATTGGCATGTCAGCCTACAGTAAGGACGAGGGTGAAATGTTAACTCTTCTGCTTGTGGTCCAGTGATTCCTGCTGGAAAATGTGGTGTGTGGATGACAACCAGAACATGATGGACTCTGTTCTGTTTGTTCCCCACAGTAGAATAAACAGAAATTATTTACTACACAGTGTTCATCAGGGTAAGTGGCTGGAAAATGGATGTATACCTATGAGTTGTTAGTGTTTAGATTGGACCAATTCGGGCACCTAACTGAGAAACCAAAAGCATCTTCAAATCAGATATAGTAGGAACTGCCGATGCTGGAGAATCTGAGATAACAAGGTGTAGAGCTGGATGAACACAGCAGGCCAAGTAGCATCAGAGGAGCAGGAAGGCTGATGTTTCGGGTCTGGACTTCAGAAGGGACTTCCTGCTCCTCTGATGCTGCTTGGCCTGCTGTGTTCATCCAGCTCTACACCTTGTTATCTCCAAATCAGATGGTGTTGTTAGACTGAGCTTTGTGTTTGATGTTACCTGACAGTCTGTGGTACTGTGTATTCCATGATGAAACCTTTAGTTCTGCCTAACATAAATATTAATCTCAAGTTATTGGTAACAGTATGTATAATATTCAGTTGACCGTACACAGAATAATTATATTAGTGCATGGAAAAAAACCTAGTCAAGTACTTTGGTCAGTTAATTCTTCACTGTTGAAGGGTGTCATAAAATCTTGACACATGAAGGGTTCATAATCTTCTTGTTAACTTAAATAACCCTTATAAAGTGATTTCTTCTTGAAAATGTTTAACTATCATTCTTTAATAAATTATTTGAAGGGATAGTAAAATCATTGAGGAGAGTTGGGCTTTGCTTTGCTGAAAGGTTGCTATTTTTTGTCTATGATACCTGAGCTGCCTGGTTCATGTAATTCTGTGTACAAATATTCACCACTGTTGCAGTAGCTCTGAGGATATGTTTCACTGGTGAGTTAATGCTTTCCGGAAAATACTGCACTCCTACTAATGTACCTCATCCCCTTTAAAACAAGCAGCTTGCACTGACTGAGGTGGTGTCTGTTCCTGCTAGGAAGCCAGAATATTATTTATGAGGGTTGAATTAAAATAGCAAGCTGTGCATTTCTTTTCCATCTGTACTGATATGACTCCCTGGAGTGGCATGCTGGAAATCAAGCCCAGCTATTTGCCGGAGTTGGCACAAAGTTAAGGATTTTATAAAGTACATAAAGATCCCCAATTTACCTGCCTGTCAAAGCCGCATCGATAGAAAGAATGAACCCGGTTTCTGTTTTTAACATGAATTATAATTTATTACAAATAATTTGACTCGAGCCACAGGAAGCAGTCCCGGAGCAGCGATCAGTGCGGGGGGGAGTGGGGTGGAGTGGGGTTGATGGGAGCAGGGGTGGGTGGGGAAAGGGGGGTGGGGAGCAGGGGTCGTTGCAGCGGGGAGCAGTCCTGGAGCAGGGGTTGGTGCGGGGGGGAGAGCAGTCGTGGGGGGGGGGGGGGGGGGGGGGGGGGCAGTCCTGGATGAGTGCTGGTGCAGGGGGAGCAGCCCTGGGTGGGTGCTGGTGCGGCGGGGAGCAGCCCTGGGTGGGTGCTGGTGCGGGTGATACAG